GGTAAGATTATTGAAATAAGAAAAAATTGAGTCAAATCAAGTATTTAAAGAATCTTACCATGTATTTGTATCAGTTGGCAGAAATTTTTGACTTTGTCTTGTTAGCCTGAAAATTTGACTCAAATAATCTTACACATTCTGAAAACAAGATGATTATTCTTACACAATCAGTTCTTGTTTAGTAAATCAGTCTCAAAACAAGATCAAAAAGACTTTTTGGCTGATATAAGGTTTTAAAACTTGGTTAGATGGACAGTTTTTACAGTTTTTACAGTTTTTGGCTGATATAAGGTTTTAAAACTTGGTTAGATGGACAGTTTTTCAGTGTGTTTGTGGACATGATTTACCAACTCATGGTTAGGAAAGAAGACATTATCCCGGTTTCTCATGCTTGTGATGATGTTTCCAACATTACCAACAATTGATGCAAACACCAGCACGGCAATGAGCAAATCTGCAACCATAAATAAGTACTCCTCCTCCCTTTCTGGCAGAGGCGTGTCTCCCACCGTGGTGAAAATCTCTGCAGAGAACCAGAAGCAGTAAAAGTACTGACGCCGCATGGAAGCAAACTCTGGGTCGGTGATGTTTGGGTAGACCCAAGGGTCACTTCCAAAGCCAAGATGGCTGGACAATGCAAAGTAGAGACAGGAATTCCAATGGATCAGCACAAAGATGTAGATCATGAGCTTTGTGATGCGGAAAGTATTGGGGTAGGAGGTTCTCGTCTCCATGCGGTCCAAGGCCTCGCTGAGCCGTGGGATACGCATGAGGCGGTTAATCCTCACCAGGGGAGTTTCAACGCCGAAGGCAAAGTACAGGAAGTCAGTGGGCAACAAAGAAGCCAGGTCCCATACAAAGTGCTTAGAGTGCAGGTAGTGCTTCCTCAGCCTGGTCAGGTCCTTTATCAGGATCCCTTGATCCAAGAAACCTGAAAAGGGAAAAAAAACAGGAAAGAAAAAAAGCCAGAACCAAAATGACTCTAGCTCTGTTACAGTGGTGTCACTAGGCCTATTTAGGAGGGCTGGAGCCCCCCAAAATATTTTAAGCACCCCTAAATTATTTTGGTGTAAAAAAATTAATTTATTTGTTATTTTACAAAAATTCAATATGATGTGGTCAGAATAAATAACCATTTAATATTTCATTATTNCCCCCGGAGGAGCTGGAAGAAGTGGCTGGGGAGAGGGAGGTCTGGGCCTCCCTTCTGAAGCTGCTGCCCCCGCGACCCGACCCCGGATAGGTGGAAGAAAATGGATGGATGGATGGATGGATGGATGGATGGATGGATGGATGGATGGATGACAACCATCCATCAAATATACAGTATTATTTTGCCAACTAAAATTTTTCAAATTCAATGATTTGGTTGATATTTTACTGTTTATGTATAAGGCTCACAAAAACATACTGCCTTCAAGCAAATTTTGTTAAGCGAGAGAGATATTATTATTTTAAGGGGATAGAAATGTTTGTGAAGCCTTGGTTTCGGACCAGTTTGAAAGAAATACGTACATTAATCCAGGGAATAAGGTTGGGGAATCGTCTGGAGGATGGTGTTAAAAGTGCCAGATCTATGTACATATTTAAGAGAAAGATAAAAGCTGATGAAGATATGTGGAAAAGTATAATGTGAATTTATATGAATTTTTTATGTTTTTTATTTAGCATTATTTTTAAATAATTTATTTGTTGGAATGTATATCATTGGGATAAAAGGGGAAGACATAAGATTTACTCTTCTTCTGATACCTTTCATTTTATTTTGATTTTTGATTTGTGTAATGTTTTTCTTTTTCTATTGTGTAGTTACTTAGTTTTTTAATTAAATGATAATCAATCAATCAATAAAAAATGGTGAATACTAGCATTCAGCATGTTTTTTGATCATTCTTAGCAACTATCACACAAAATTTCAGCTCAGTATTTCTCAAAACAGATAGATTAAAGCCATTTTAACTGTGGTGGCCATCTTGAATTTTCCAGAGTGTTTTTTTAATTACTATTATTTTTATGTGCCACTCTAAAAAAACTCTTTGGCCACCCGGGTGTCAGCCCTTGCAAAAAAAAGTCTAGCTCCGCCCCTGCCCTGCATGTACCAAAACTCAAAATTTCACCAAACGTCCAGCTTTTGTTTTCTTTCAAAAACTAGTTTTGTCACTCTTATTAAGAACACAAATTTGCTTTTTTGTGCTGAGAGTTTCCTGGGAAGATTTAACATTTTTGAAACGGGGGTGAACAGCAAGCCTGAATTTACACAAAAGCAACAAAACTAAAATAAACTTTAGCTACAAGCACCTCTTAGGTTCACTAATTAACATGCTGACTTGTTTTCTGGGTTTAATTAATAACAACAACAACAACAACAACAACAACAACAACGCATTTAATTTATAAAGCGCCTTACAGGACACTGAAATTAAGTGTAATTATGGCAAGAAAATGATTTTTTTTCCTGGGTGTTTGATTAAAATCAGGGGTTGTCTTAATGCTAAGCTAACCTGCTGGGTTGGAGCTCCACGTTGCTTGTGCAGACATTATGGATAACATTTTTTCATGCCTGAATGTCAAGTTTTTATTCCAGCAACACACACATTTGGTGAAGGACTTGTAAAGGCTTCAGATCACAGACTTCTCCTGCTGTTTCAGGTCGGCTGCAGGTCACCTTAGCTGCCAAAGCAGGCTGCAGGGAAGTCTGTCAGCAGGTTAAAACAGCGTGCCAACGTATCACCTACGGGTCAAAACCACCCCCGTCTCCTGCAGACCAAGGTTACATAACATCAGGACCGTCCCTGTCCGTATTGTGAGGCAGCTCTCCAATATAATTAATCATTGCCTCCAAGAAGCATCCAAGAGGCCGTGCGACGGGCGAAGCTGTCTGAATCTGTCGCCAGGTCTTGTCCTCGCGCTGCAGATTGCTTCTTCTGCATCCACACATATATCAACATGTGTGACTTTGGCCCAGGCCAAAGGATTAGTCCCGTCCAGGCCTGGGTCCACGCAGCGGGGCAGGCAATCGGGGAGCGGTGCCAGGGCCTGCTTACGGAGATTTAGCCACTGCTGTCCACTCCCTGCCTCGGTTCAACTTACAGTCTTTTTGTTCCCTGCAGCAGAGATAAGACGTCGTGCTTTAACGTGCGGGGATGTCAGAAAGAGCAGCTGGAGGGATGCTAATGTGTTGTTTGATTTAAATGTCAAACATGTGTCACAGACTTGAAGTGCAAATGACTAACGACTTGGATTGAAGAGCTTAACAATGATAGTTGCACAACAATTGCTATTTGACTCAGCGCTGCTCACTTCAGCTTCCAAAAGGTTTTATTGCTGGCAGTGGCGTCACTAGGCTTATTTTAGGGGGGCTGGAGCCCCCCAAAAATATTTTGGTGTAAAAAAATTTAAATTAATCAATTATTTAAATTCAATATCATGTCCTCAGAATAAATAACCATTTAATATTTCATTATTGACTAAAATATATGATCTTAAATTAATCAATTATTTAAATTCAATATCATGTCCTCAGAATAAATAACCATTTAATATTTCATTATTAACTAAAATATATGATCATACATCTGTCAGTTTCCCTTTAATTTATAGTGTAAAATAGTTTTAATGTTCAGTTTTGGGGTATTTTTGATCTGATGTTAAAATATTATTTGGCCTTGAATGATTTAAAAATAACTATGGAAAAAATAATAATCTGAAAGTGTAGGTATTGTTCTCTAAAATAAGTGTTTCTGTTTTCTGTCTGTGAATGGACATGTTTGTGTGTTGGTTTTAAAAATATATCTCATGAATCACACGATGGATTTTACAGAAGCTAATCATTAGGTGCATCTTGAAGGCAAGCCAGTTCAAGATGGCTGCCAGAGGAAACTCCAGGGGCGGTTCTAGGGACGGGGCCACAGGGGCATTGGCCCCAGCTGAAATCTGATTGGCCCCCTGAAGTGCCCCTGTCCTGTCACTCACCTGTCCTTTACCTGAGAGTGATGATGGTGGATGCAGTTCCAGGTTCAAACACTAGTTGCACTAATGAGTCAAARAGTAAAGTCCAGAATGAATCAAGCTGACAGAATTCTTCTTCTCTTCTTAAGAAAATTTGAACAATCCTGTAAAGAAGTCTTTCATCACCAAATAACTATCAAAAACAAATACCCTCTACCGCTCATTGATTCAGTGCATCATCAACAGCTCCATAATGCCATCGTGTTTACTAAACTGGATTTACGCAATGCGTATCATTTGGTTAGGATCAAAGCTGGAGATGAGTGGAAAACCGCATTTAAGACACCCCTGGGGCATTTTGAGTATTTGGTTATGCCATCTGGGTTAACCAATGCCCCTGTGGTTTTTCAGTCACTCATCAACGACGTTCTTCAAGACTTCCTGAACGTTTTTGTCTTCATATATTTGGATGATATTCTCATCTACTCTAAAAATCTGGATCAACARAAACATCATGTTRGCGTTGTTCTTCAAAGATTATATGAAAACCWGCTCTTCGTGAAAGCCGAAAAATGCAAATTTCATGTATCTACTGTATCATTTTTGGGTTTTATTTTTGGAAAAGTTTTTTTTCAGACCGACCCYGACAAGGTTAAAGCTGTGGCAGAGTGGCCAGTTCCTAAGGACCGTAAACAACTTCAAATGTTCTTGGGGTTCGCTAATTTTTATCGGCGATTCATTGAGGACTACAGTCGAGTGGCGGCACCTTTAACCCAACTCACATCTACTTTGAAGACTTTCAAGTGGACTGCAGAAGCTGATACGGCATTTGGTGAGTTAAAGGCTCGTTTTGTTTCCGCCCCCATCCTAAGACACCCTAACCCCACAGAACAGTTCATTGTGGAAGTGGATGCCTCCGATTCTGGCGTGGGAGCAGTTCTTTCTCAGAGATCCTCTGCTGACAACAAGGTCCACCCCTGTGCCTTTTTCTCACGTCGACTCACTCCCTCAGAAAGGAACTACGATGTGGGGGACCAGGAACTGCTGGCCATTAAATTGGCACTGGAGGAGTGGCGTCATTGGCTTGAGGGTACTGACCTGCCGTTCATAATTTGGACGGATCATAAAAATCTGTCATATCTTCAAACTGCCAAGAGATTAAATCCCCGCCAGGCCCGCTGGTCCCTGTTTTTTGTCCGCTTTAACTTTGTTATTACCTACAGACCGGGAACCAAGAATGTCATGCCTGACGCCCTCTCCCGTCAGTTTTCTGACACTGAGAGTCCTAAGGATGAGGACAACATCCTTCCTCCTACATGCTTTGTGGGATCCCTTACATGGGCCATAGAAAGAGAGATCCAGGAGGCTCTTAAAACCGAACCTGACCCGGGGGGAGGGCCTCCTGGTAAGACTTTTGTTCCTACTTCTGTTAAAGCTAAAGTGTTGGACTGGATATTTATAATGCAGTAATACAGTACATTATTATATGTTAAAATATGCATTTCGTAATCATTATTGTGCTTACAAGGTAGTAAACTAGTCTGAAATGTTTAATACCCAAACAGATTTGGCTCAGTATTTGGAAAGAAACCAGGCCGTTTAGTCTATTTTTTAACCTTAATTATTGTATAATAAACACTTATTAATAATTTATAAAGTGTTTACAGTTGAATTAATAACCTATCTATAAACTATTTAAAAGNCATACATACATACATACATACATACATACATACATACATACATAACACACACACACACACACACACAATACAAGTATATAATAAACAAAAATTCTGTGCGTCTCCTGGGGGCTAAGCCCCCCTTGTCCTTAAAACCTAGTGACACCCCTGATTGCTGGAATTCATCTTGTTTGTTTGCTGGTTTTATGCACTGATTCAGTTCAAGTTGTAGCAGCAGCAGAGTCATGCTAACTGCTGTTTTCTCTGCAGTTCTGGAACTATTTTGCCAATATTTGACACTGATAAGTAAAGAAAGTCAAAGCAAGGCATGGCATCTTATGGTGAAGGCTTCTGAACTCCCAATGGTCTAAATAAAAGTAAGTGTAAACTAATTAAGTAAGATGTGAGGGGAAAATCGTTGCTCTCATAACCAAAATATTCACGTTTTTTTTTTTATCATATCATGTTTGTCTGTATTTGCAGACAGTTTGCTCTTTTTTTTTTTTTTTTTTTTTTTAGTACTTCAAAAGGCGAAGCCTCCATAATTATTGCTGTCGGACTGACATTGACGAGTCGAACTTGTCACTGCAAGTCCTTTATGTGTCAGCATGATGAAGATATTTTTTGTGCATGGTGTCGAGAGGAAAACCAAACATAATGAGGAATAACGTTCACACTGTAACGGATTTTGTGGATGGATTTGTTTGGAATAGAAATAATTAGCAAAATAAAAATACAGTAAACTAGAAAATTTGCATTTCCTTTGAAAATATTTAAAGCTGAAAGATTTTTACTGCATAGCTAAAAAAAAAAGCTGGAACTATAGCTGAAACAGAAGCAGAAAGAGTGCATATTTGTTTAATTAAGCAGTAAAAACCATCACAAAAAGGTGAGATTATCCAAAAATATAGCTCAAAACAGTAAAAGCAGATGAAATTAGCTGGAAAAAGCCCAAAAAGCTTAAAATAGCAAATAGAAGCTGAAAGTACACTGCAAAAACTGTCCATCAAATCAAGTTTTAAAATCTTATATCAGCCAAAAAGTCTTTTTGATCTTGTTTTGAGACTGATTTACTAAACAAGAACTGATTGTGTAATGCCGCGTTCACACCGAACGCGATTTCAGCTTCAAAATCGCAGCCAACGCTGAAGTTTGAAGCTTGTGCACTTTGAGGTCAGACGCAGGTCAGCTCTTGAAGCGCTGCACGGCAAGGGCCTCCCCG